CCCCAAAACCCCAAAACCCCAAAACCCCACCCAATTGAAGATTGTTGTTGCTTGAAATGTAATAAAATATTTCACAGATTATATTATAATTTCCTTTCTACATAATCAAAGCTCATGAGCGAATCTACCCTTGAAGTCACTTATATCGTTTAATAATTTTGAATACATCTCAAGCTTCTTTCTGGCAATGATCTCAGCCATGTCAAGATAGCCCTTCATGTCATAGTTGGCATCGTTGACCATAGCTTTCTCAATCTTTGTGATAAGCTCTCCCTCCTGAGTTATTAATTAAGCTTCTTCCTTGACGCACTCAAGGTGGCCATTAAGGATGTTTTCCTCAGCTGCGATTCTATCATCGTCATAGCCCATCATATCATCCTCGTCTTACTGTTACTAGTTCACATTATTGTAAGCAACATAAGGCATTTATTTTGGAGGAGTTTATATCTTCATTTATAAATCTTTCTAGTTTGAGTTTATATTTGGCTCTTGGCTTTTTCTCTAAACTATAGAGCTTACTTAATGAGGCTTTGGCTGTTTTTATCTTGGAGAGATGTTGTTCATGTTGTAAGGCTCATCTTCATTTAAAAATGAATCATCTTGCTTCTTAAGCTAATTATTGAACTTATGGTTTTATTGCTGCTGAGAATATTGAGGCTGCTAATTATGATGGTTTTATTAAGGTGCATGGTTTTAGTTTTATTGGTGTTACTATTAAGAAGGCTGCTGCTGTTAATATTTATTTTGAATAACAGGCTTTTGCTAAAGACCTTGCTTTTAAATTAATGCACTAGTTGCATTGTTTGTACTTGTTTTGGGCTATTACTAAAAGTTGTGCTTTTACTACTAAGCAGTTTGAAGTGAAGGCTTTTGAAGTTTACTCTATGGCGACTGATTTTTAGGTGGCAATATAGATTTTATCTTAGTTTGTTAGGAAGACAATCCAGTGGGTTCATCCAACATGATAATATCACCATCATACATATCTTCGTTGCCATAGTCTGAGAATGATTTCTCCTCCTAATTTTGATTTTAATGATAAAATAGTTCCTTGTTTGGTTTCATCGGAATGCTATCTCTGTTCTAAGGATTATTAATATTTTTAGTTTAAATGACTGGAATATTTGTCTAAGCTTTCTTAATAGGTTGCTATTGACTGGCATGTGATTACGGCGGAAGCTATTCTTTCTCGTTATCATTTGAAATATACTTGAGCGAATTTTATTTCTTAAAGAGTTTGAGCTGCTCTTCTAACTAATTTGGATTATACGTTTGTTAATGATTGGGAGGACCTCCATTAGGTATATTCTGATTCTGATTTCCACTTCTTTCCTTCAACCTCTCAGCATATCTTAGAGTATTTAGAGTGTGATCTGCTGAGCTACTGCCTGGACAAATACAAGCGAGCATAAAGATCTTATTTTTATCACTTTGAATAAATGAATCTCTCAGGACCATAGTTAATTTACTACCTCTGAATGGAACATGCTAATTAGTTGTATTAGCCTTTTAGGCGTCTAGGGCTCTAACACATTCTTTCAACGCCAGAAGTGATTTATTGATTTCAGCACCTTCCTGTTATCTATCTTTATTGTTGCTTTAACAATCTTAGGCTCTTTCACTTCCAGCTAAATCAACCAAAAGCAAACGACCAGCTTGCTTGATTCCTTCCTCATGTACCTTTATTTGGCAAACAGCATGACTTCTGCTTGAGGTGTCATTAGCCTTTGTAGCATGAGTAGTTCTTACACTGTTTCCAAAGGCAATGAGGTTTAGGATTTCTTCTTCTGACTGAACAAATTATTCTTTTAATCCATGAATCTATATCTTCTAGTTTTTGTCTTCTTAGACTTTAAGCTATTCATGATTATTAATGAGATCATAGACTTTTCCTCCATATATCTCATACATTGAAACTGTAACAGTAAAATTTCTATTGTGCTCTTAGAAATAGTTAACACCTCTATCGAATAAATCTTTTATAGCCAGTTCTTAAAGTCCTTGCATGGTGTAAGTTTTACCAGAACCAGTCTATCCATAAGCGAAAACAGTAACAATACCACAATTAAAAACTAAATCTAAGATTGGCCTGATAGAGTAAAAATAGAGATCTTGATTGGATTCATCGTGTGAGAAGGTATTGTCGAACTCGAAGTCAGAGTTATCAATAAATTTGGTGATACCATCGACCTTGTATTTGCACTCGTGGACAATAATGTTAGGATTTGAGGCTGAAACGCAATCAATATCGCCTATAAATAATTAAGATAAGTATCTGATTTTTACCAGCAGAAAGCTCAGAGTTGAATATAGGTCTCTTTTTCACACAAACGCAAATCTTTAATTAATCGGCTGGAATATGCTATAACGTAATTTATAAGCAACTTTATTGTTGTTACCGGTGACATTTAAGGAACATTTCTCATATTTTATTCGACCATCACTTAGAAATCTACATCAACTTTTATGCCCTAAGCCTCATTATATTACTCTCTCTCAGTCTTTTACTTCCTCAAATCATCCATTTTCTTACGTCTTTCCTCTCTATTTTACTTTAATCTTTCAATTTCCTCTAGACATGATGTCTTCTTCGCTGCATTAGCTGCAATTGCAGCACTACTGAGTTAAATATTGTTTGTTCCATCTTTGAGAGTTGAATCATTCACTGCAGCAGGCATGCCAACACCTTAGATACCTATTACTATTTAGATCTAATAAATTAACCTACCGTAATGCTTCTTTAGTCTATCTTTTCTTTCAACTACTGTTCCAAATGTTGGTAATTTCTTTTCCTTTAACTCATTAACGACTTCATCGTTTGTCATATTATCTATCTATTACTCTTTCTTGGAGTTGACTCGATCCTTCATTTACTTCACCTTATCTGTAAATATCAATTTAGTAAGTGAAATTCCTAGAAATTTGTCTTACTTTTGTTTTGTTCAGTTAGATTAGTACTGCTAGTACTGGTCGTGTACTATTATTTCTTTATCATTAATTATTCAAAATTTTAAATAATTACTTTTAACCTATCATTATAGGATTATTCACTCGAGGGGTTTTGGGGTTTTGGGGTTTTGGGGTTTTGGGGTTTTGGGGTTTTGGG